CAGAATTTGTTCCCTCATCCCAGCTGGACAGCCAGTTTCATAACACCGTTCTTCAGCTCCTGAAGGTTTCCAGTCCTTTTGCTGTCAGGATTGTACACGTTGTTCCTCCATTCAAGAGCCATTTGTTGGCATCACAACTGTGCCAGCACTGCAGCAATGCCAGATCCCGTGAAATTGGCTTAAAAATTAAAACCTAGAAAAAGAACAGAAATAAAATAAAAATAAAAATAAGATATACCATGCAGATCTCTCAGGGTGAGTTTATTGTTTTTCAAAACTAATAGGAGATGCGGGATAATAGATGGCCCAACAATGACTACAAAGCAATAAACTATGTGCTCTGCTCATGTAATGAACAGTGAAAATACAGCTACAGAAGTTCAAGCTGGGAATGATGTCAACTGCATGGTTCAAGAACAAGGATTAGTGTCCCATTCCAATTATGAACAATTGTGTTTCCCCCTTCCATCCCCCAGGAAACAGGAAACATGAATAAATATGCATACCATCACAATATAAAGGAAAACTATACGAAGTTGTTCAGCTGTCCTCTCCAGTTTCATTATTTGCATATCTTAGCTCTGGACCACTTTATTGACAGTAGGTGAAGGAACACATCTTCAGGACATCCTGCAGCAAGTCAGAGAACCTGAGAAGCTTGGCTGACCTCACGGTGCTCTTCATCTTCAGGGCTGGATCTGCACAGCACCCATAGGAGCAGAGCTACTCGAAGCATCTGTAAATCACTCAGCATGCCCAGTAGAGGTGGTGGGCAGACAGGGCTCCCAGAGGGCTGACCTACCCAGGTCCTTACCACTGCCCCAGCACAAAATGGAGAAGGGGTTTGCCTGCTGGTGGAGAAACCCCACAGGATACCCCAAGACTTGTAGGGGGAGAACCTCAGGCCTCTTTTAATATTATGACCTCGATATTATTTAGGCTTTGACCTTCAGAAATCACCTTTTTTTTTTTTTTTTTTTGGGGGGGGGGGGGGCGGGAGAGGGGCAAACAATCTACTTTGGGGATTAAAAGTGGCAAACAGAATTACAAACCAGGATTAGCACTTGGCTTCTGAACTCTCCTTGCCCCACAGCTGCAGTAAAAATCTCAGCAGTCAGAGGCTTGGATTCTCAAAAGTAGTTTGGGCAAGTTTTATGCAAATCAGCAGAAAATACTTATCAACTATGGTGTTGAAACTCTCAGCCTAGTGTCACACCTTTTTTCACATTTGAAGACAACTGAAAGGTCATTTTATATCTACGAAGCACTGATTAATCTAGAAAAGGTAAAATCTCTTATTTTACCATCAAGTGCCATGGAAAGTTGGGAGTTGTTAGGCTTGGAGACTTTTCCTCAGTCACAATAAAAAAGAGACATACCTATTATTATACATTTTTCTGCAGTCAAGTTCAAGACACATATGATAACGTATTAAAGCTTACACTGGCAGAAACTTTCTGAAATGTTATGCTAAAAAAAAAAACACAGGTTTAACGAGAGCCAAGTCAGAGACACCTTCCAACACTTCCAAAACACATTTTGTATCAAACTTGTAAAAATAAATAAATAAATAAATTCTCCATTAGAAACAAACAAACAAAAAAAAAAAAAAAAACACTACATATCTTGATATGGATGAAATAACAGAAAACAGAAAGTGGAAGGAATAGTTATAATGTAAGACAAGCAAGAAGGAGAAGACAAAAGGCCACATTTTTGTGTAGTCTGCCTGAAGGTCATGAAAGTATAACAAAGACAATCTACAGAAACCAGCAGGAGTGTCAGACATGAAAAGAACTGGGGAGAGGGGTCCAGAAGACATCTCTGAACTTTTTAATGTGATAGTGGCCTGTAAGAACAGTTTTTATGGAGAGGAAATATTTAAAATTCGGGCCAAAAGGTACTAGAGAAGTGGTCAGGAAGGTGGATGTTAGGTTATTGAGACTGAGCAATTGGATCAAGGGTCCTGGAGACAAGGGTCTGGGATCAAGGCTTCCCCCACCACAACCACCCTCCTCTGACACACACACACACACATTTGGATTTCCTTAGGGCATCGCAGAGGCTTGGTTTAATCCATCTTTCTTCCAAACCTTACTCACTTCTCTCAATCTAGGGTGGTGGCAGGGAAAAAGCATACTGAAGGTTGTTCCCCACCAGCTGCCCAGCTGATGGCTTGGAAGCAGAAAGAGCCAATGGAGCTCACACAGAGGGAAAAAGATTTTTGACTGTGAGGGTCATATATACATAGGTATATATAAATGTCTATTCTGAACCACCTAGGGACAGAAAATATTGCTGCCCACTAACGTGAAGCAATCAGCATTGCCTACACACTGAGAGCAGAGATCTTGGCAGTATCCATCATGGGAGAGAGCACGCAGAGGAAGGTTGGCAATAACAGGGGCTTGGAGTGTGAGGTACGGCAAGGTGATCTGCCTCCAGCCATGAAAAATCTAGTGACCACAGTGACCACAAACATGCCAAAAGTCCCCTGTGGATCTTGTCTTCTTTTTCTTCTGCACATGGAGAACTACTTCTTTTCGATATCAGAACTGGAACCAGACTGGAAAATAACAGGATGGGAACATCACCTCCACATCCATCTTGTTGGATCTGGATGCAATAAAGAGGTTGTGCATTTAGAAGTTAACAAGAAGGGGCATGGTTTTAATAACTGCTGAAAATGTTCTAATGCTGGAAATGGGCATTGATATCCACATCCTCAAGCTGACATTAAAGGGAGGAATTTCAATTATTTTTTAAGTTATTCACTTGGGAAGCCTGTTCACGTTCGACAACACAAACCAGAGATGTACTTAAACAAGTGAGTATAACACTGAAATTAAAAACCAGACTACTTTTTCTCCAAGTACCTTTTTCAAATGGCACAGAGAAATTTACACAAGCTGAAGGAGCCTCTGCATTTAATTCCTGATGGCAATGATATTTCCTCAGCTCAGCCAGCAGTCTGGTCAGGTACTGCTGAGTCAACCTACTTCTGAGACCTTCCTTGCCTGCTAATGCTGCGCATAAACCTTGAGATGTCATTATTTTGCTGCTGTGAATAAGTCTTGCAGGTTTACTGCAGCTTGGAAGTAAAAGCTTAAAAATCCTCAGTGTCGTGTTTGCTCTCTCTGTAATTCCAAACATGAAATGACAATTCACTTAATAAAGTGGCTTCTCTTCGTAACATTATTTCTCCCTGGTTCAGGTGCTCTCACTGCTATCTGAGAACCCTAAGACACTGAATTTCATAAAACATTGAAATCTAATTCTATTTTCTGCAGAGCTATCGTGAGAGTCAAGCCTGTCATGCTGAGGCTTTACACCATCACAGATTTTTATAGCTGTGCAAGCCTCAGAAGATCTGCAGTGCATGTATTAGACAGAAATGCTTTACCTTTGCTGCTGGTTTGTCTCATGCATCTCACATGCTGCTTCCAGAAGGGACGAGTGTATCAAAGTCCAGAGGGACTGTCTCCAAAGGTGGCCTACCAAAAGTATCACCCTGGGAGAATCCGATTTCCCCTGGGAATATGTAGGCAAGGTGGGAAAGAAGAGGTGAAGAAAATGAGGCAAGTGAAATAACATATTCTGCACAGAAGATAATGGATATAAACCAAGCATGAATAACCTTAGTCCAGAATTATGAAGATAATCACGGACGTCATCTTCTGGAAGGCCTGTCTTATGGGACTTGTGGAGGGAACACGAAACAGCCCAGCTGACCTGGGACTTGATAGCTGCGTGCATGGAATTACACCAAATTAAGTGTGGTTCAATACCAGGGCAATGGCCTTAATAATTTAGTTAGTAACCTCCACTCCCACACTTTCATGTTTCGGTGAAGATAATTGTTCACTCCCGAGAACATAAAAATATAATGTCTATTGCCAAATGTTGCCAAAATCCTGACCAAAAAAAAAAAAAAAAAAGCCAGAATCAGTGGGATGACTGGAATGATCATACATCTCATACATCAAAAGTATGTTCCATCAGCCCACATTGGACAGTCTCGAAGTAGTAATATGTTCATTACATATGACATTAATATATGTTCAGTTAAGTATTATTTCAATATAAAAGTAACAGTGTGGAGGGAAGGGAAGGGAAGGGAAGGGAAGGGAAGGGAAGGGAAGGGAAGGGAAGGGAAGGGAAGGGAAGGGAAGGGAAGGGAAGGGAAGGGAAGGGAAGGGAAGGGAAGGGAAGGGAAGGGAAGGGAAGGGAAGGGAAGGGAAGGGAAGGGAAGGGAAGGGAAGGGAAGGGAAGGGAAGGGAAGGGAAGGGAAGGGAAGGGAAGGGAAGGGAAGGGAAGGAAGGGAAGGGAAGGGAAGGGAAGGAAGGGAAGGGAAGGGAAGGGAAGGGAAGGGAAGGGAAGGGAAGGACTTCCCAGCCCTGCTGCAATAAAACCACAGCCACTGTTCTGGTCTAACATAGGCTTTTTGCTCCTCTGGCAAAGCCACTTGAAGCTGTCTGAGCTGCAAGTGGAACTTATTTTAAGGTGAGATAGGCACCTTAATGGTTGTAAATACAATTAAAATTACTTATGTTTTACTCTGAAGAAGAATTTTTACACAATTGGATTAAAATAGTTTGGAGTACAAAAAGTCATGCTACACTGCCTGAATAATTTAATAGTAACAGCTGTGACCGCCAGCACAGGGTTCTGCTCTGCTGCATGTACTGCTCACCCATCCTAAACCACGTTTGAGTTACTCATGCTTACTAATGCTTTCTGTTCAGTAGTTCAGGACAGTGCATAGACCACAGTTGTTCCCATGTTTGCTTCATTGTTTTTAAAAAGGGATCTTTCTACTAAAAGGATGCCTTATAAAAATAAGTTCCTTCAGTGAGACAAATAATGACACAAAACCCTGTATTCTTCTCCCATTACCATTAATTTTATATTCAATTTAAAATGAAATGTGGATGTTATGGATGTTAAAGGCACTTTCTCCTTTTTATTTATTTATTTATTTATTTATTGCTTATGGAATATGTTTTTTCATGAATTGACCTGTTCTTTGCTTTCTGTAATCTCCTTCAGTTATGGAACAATATAATTACATCGTAATTTTAAAATACTTTTCCAATTTGCTTTCACTTTATATCAAATTACAACATTTTACATGTAGAGTATTTTAGAACTGAGAGTTCCAAAGATTTTTGGAAAGATGCCAAAGAAAAATGTTTCAGCATCTTCCTCACAGAATAAACATGGTATTGTTTTCAGCAATACTCAGTTTCAAAGTAACCTTAATGCAGTCTTCAGGAAAATGTCCTTATGAGGAAATTAATGACGAGGATCATAGCTTTGCTTTTGCAGAATAGATGTGCTTGCAGACTGCTGACCGTGTGGAATCCTGCAACTCTTTGGGTCTTTGTGTGAGTTTTGTATGGCATGGCAAAATGCACCGTGTTAGATTAATAAATGTCTGCAGTGATTTTTTCAGCTATAGCTCTTCCACTTCAGCCAGAGCAGACAGAGCTTCCAAGCCAACTCGTGCCTGCTGTGTTTGCCAAGGAAGATAAAACAAGCCTGCCTGCGAACACCCTGCCTGCACACTGTGCTTTGTGCAGGTACAGCAGCACCGGGGCACGCTGCTTTGCACAGCACCTGGCGCTGTGTGGGCTGAAAGCAGCTGCTGCCACCAGGCCTCCGGAGACTTTTTGTTTTGGTAAAAGTGCAGCCTGGGGAAGTTCATGGGAAAGGTCTGTCCTGACAGCTCCTCCTCCCAGCTATGGCTCAAAAGGGTTCAGGGGATGCGTGGCTGCTGGAGTCGAGTGCACTAACACCTTTCGCTAATTGGTAATCTGCTCTTGAGAAGAAAAGCTTCGTTTCATCAATTAAGCAACCAAGGACTATGTGAGATGTGTCTTTGCAGGTGTCAGTAGTCTCCAAAACTAATAGAAGCTGTCTTTGCATCACTTTGAGCAATAATTTTAGGAAGAATTTTTTACCATAATGATAATATTACTAGTAATAATCGTAATACTGCTAGTAATAATAGTAGTAGCAGTAATAATAATAATAGTATCAACCTGATTGTGCTAAAATACGCGGGAGTTTGTGTTCATTGTTCTAACCAATATCATGTTTGAGAGGAAAACTTTGCAGCCAAAGCTATCTTTCTCCCTCTTCCCCCAAAAAATAAAACCAGCATTCATATAAAGCCAGAAAAAAATGTCAAGCCTTCTTCAGTTCCACGCAAATCACACATACTCTTACAAAACATGTAAGAAATCACAACATATCAAAAACAAATCCAAGAACACCATCACAGAGGAGGGCTCCTCCTTGGCGATATTCTGAACCTCTGCTGCAGATCCGCAGGAGCCTGTTTGACCCAAAATATCTTGGCAGGGAGGCTGACTCAAGTGAAACATTAGAATGAGTGCTGAAGGTCTGTTGGAAATTTTGGATGACTTCAGGAAAGCTCCAAGGGTAGCAGTGGGTTTGTCCATGCCACAATCCTTCTGCATCAGACAGGTCCATGTTTGTGGCAGGCAGGTGGCGGTGCTGCCCCTCTCCTCACCTGCCCCAAAAACAATTTGCTAAGAAACTGATTTTATTAAAATGAAAAGCTTCCTAGAAGTACTGAAGGCTAAACCCTTTCTATTTTCTTTCCAGACTCTTTGCCCTCCTCATATGCCACGTGGAAAGCTGGAGAGTGGGAACATTTCCAGCAAGTGCAATCAGGCTCAATGCTTCCCATATATATGAGCTTATGAGCTCTCTTTTAATTACAGCTATTTACTACTAATTATTATTATTAACAACGGCAAACAAACCTTCACATTTCCCGCATCCACACCTTCCAAAAAAGCCAGCATTTTCAGCCTTCCCACAGGCCATAGAGGAGGAAAAAAAAAATTTAAGATGCACTTGTTCAAATAATGAATTCATATTATTACTTTTTTTCTATTTTTTACTTTTCCCCCCTTAGGGCTCTTCTCTTTTATGCAGGACTGTTTACTGACAGTAAACTTCTGCAAGCTGACAAACACAGCAAATGTTCCTCTTACTTCCTCATTCCTCATTACCGTCCATTCCCAGGAAAGGCACTGGGATGACAATGAAGAGCGCTGAAGCTTCAAAGGTCCCACAAGTTTCCTCAACTTCAGGTCCCACAAACACACGACTCCTCAGCTCCTCATTTGATGGCTGCAGTCCTTTGCAACCCCCATGTGCCCTGCCGTGATGCCGTGATGACACCTAAAAAAGGCAATGCCACTGATTCACTAACAGCAAACATCCCAGGCAGCTAAGAAATACCAAATTTTAATGACAAACGACCTATTTCTGGGGCTAGCCCTGTAGCCATCAGCTACAGGAAACAAAAGGCTGATGTCCTCCTCTTTCCTGTTTATTATTATTTATTAACAGCTGTTTAGTTCAGTCACTACAGAGTTCATTTAGAGACTAGGGGCATCATTTCCTAAAACTGCAAGCCACTAAGGATTAGCAGCACGCTGAAATGATACAACTCAGAACATCCCCCAGAGCATCCACTGTAGTAAGTCGGACCTTCCTTGAAATGATCTGGTTAAAAACCTGATTACACGCACAGAGAAGCAGGGACCTTAATTAGTTGTTTCTCCCAAAACACCTCTGGTTAGTCTGATGTGAAGGCATCTTCAGCTTGTTAACTGAGCATACCCAATTATGCTCAATTAAGACGTTTTAATTAATCATAGTTAATTACACTTAACGTAAAGCACACGAGCAGCCCTTGTTGCAGTTCCTTGCACGCGTTGGGGCAGTGCTGCCCTCCCGGCAGCGTTTTGGAGCCAGGCCACAGGCAGGCCTTGCTCAAGCCTGAATCCTCCCAAGCCCTTCATCCTCGACACATCCAAAACACTGCAGAGGATCACGTTTCCTCCACCATCGCTTCACGCAGGGTCTTATCAAAGGCTTTGCCTGAGCACTGCATCCCAAAACATCCCAGGGAATGGACTGATTTATTGGTGCAACATGTTCAAGAGGCAGGGCAAAGTTTCCAGAAGGCTTTCCGGAGATGTAGCAACAAATATCCCAAAACCTCACTTCTCGCTGTATTCCTCTCCTGCCTGTGTTTTTCTTTTGTGTGTACCTTGCTAGCAAACTGACCTGGAGGCCCGTGGTGCCAGGCCCAGGTCAGAGCTTGCTCTGCAGTCCCACAGCTTGGTGGTGTGAGGCCTCAGCACAAGGTTTTTCAGGCACCATGAGTAAAGCAAGAGCAGCTGTAACAGCCTGAATGAAAATACTGCCTGCGCTTTTTGCTATAAACATGATTTTGCTGCATTTTTCCCCCTTTCTGTGCCATCAGCTAACTATACTGACATTGCCAGTCCTGCAGTGAGAAAAAGGGTTAACTCCTTTCCACCTCCTCTGGGCTATAGCATTTTGGAAGTGCTGAAGTCTTCCTCCTGCTCCTCCCTTGGCCTCCACCAGTAACAGGAACAGCCATAACCTGCAGAGCTAAGAGAGTCAGAGGCTGCTGACCAGGAGCTTGGAAAGGCAGGAACAAGCGTGGTGGAGACACCGCTGGAGCAGACAGGCATGTCCCAAGTGACCACGACTGATGCTGCTAATTTCTGAAGTAGGAGCATAGAGTGAAAGTTACGGCTACAAAGTGCTACGAGATATCTGCCATCGTGAAGAGCCACACAGACAACCCAGAGAAGACTGAAGTGGAAAATAATGTTGGCAGAAAGAGAGGACCAGTGACAGAGTAAAAGCTCGGGAGGTCGCAATACAAGCAGCCTGTAAAGCTGTGCTGTTGGAGGCTCGGCGGTGGCCCTGAAGAAGAGGGGTTGCTTGGACTCGTTGAAGGCAGGAGGAAGCTCAAGGGCAGCCAGAGCAGGATTCTTCATCATTTACAGTCAACAGGGTTGGCATGACTGTGGCTGGCTTATTGCAACTTTTCATTCAAACTCTGATCCTAGTTAGTGCTAACGAGATCAGAAATCTCAAAGATTACAAATAAAAACAGACTGCCACTACTTTATTGCTATTATTTCAGTATCATAACTGTACAGAGTATGGCAAATCTGTAGTCCTGTGTTAATTCATTAATGTGTTCTTAGTAAGTGGAATCCCTATAGACTCATTATCTTGGATAGAACTGGGCAAATCCCAATATAAATTTTATCTGAATATTGGCTCAGATTGCAATTTATATTTCCCTTCAGCTGAAAGTTCCCATCAGGAAGGTGGTGGCGAAGTTCCCATCAGGAAGTTCCCATCAAGAGGGTGGTCGTGCACAGGAACAGGCTCCCCAGTGAAGTAGTCACTGCACCAAGCCTGTCTGAATTTAGGAAGCGATTGGACTGTGCTCTTAGGCACATGGTCTAAACTTTTGGGTAGACCTGTGCAGTGCCAGGAATTGGACTTGATGATCTTTACTGGTCCCTTCCAACTCGGGATATTCTATGATTCTATGATCGGTTTTGGGGTGCTTGCTTCCAGCCAGTCCCCAAGGACACGAGTACACATCCCCAGAGAGACATATACAAAATTATTTTGCCAGGGGAATCCAGACAAGTTATACTCATTCAGAAGACAAAATGCAATTTATGTCCAATCACATCTAACTGGATTTCAGAAGTCAAAAGCAACAGGTGAGAATGAAGACACAGGTCATTCCCAACATGCAGTGCTGAAAAAAATAATCAAGCTTTGGCAGAAAACTTAGTGTAAATTTGCCAGGAAATTTGACTGTGTGTAATGTGGAAGAGGAGACACACTATTGATGCGATATGTGAATGTTCCTCATTATTTTAAGGGAGAAACTTTGTATTGTAAAACAACTACTTTCCAGACCTAGTGGCTGTCTAGGATGAGCAACTGGGATTGGTAAGCAAGTTGAACCATTCTCATGCTGCTCTGCAAAATAAGGAGTGGGGAAAAAAAAGGAAAAGAAGAAAAAAAAAAAAAAAAAAAAAAAAGAATGATGAAGGAAGCATGTACAAAAAGCTGTGATTTACACTCGGAGTAACCAAATCATGCCATCATGTAAGGAGGCAGCTTCTTCGGAATACCTAATACCACTTCGAAAAAGAAAGTAATTTCATGACCATAAGAGTTAGTAAGAAAGTAAAAACTTAGCAGGGACTTTTATTTATTTATTTATTTATTTATCCTTTTTTCTCTTTTCTTCTTTTCCTTTCACATGTGCTAGGATGCTTTTCTCCATTAGTAAACCTCTTTTCTGTCAGTTCTGCAAACTGCTTGGTCTTAGAGCAACTGAGAGTGAAGTGCAGCCTCTTTTTGCACAGAAAGGGGGAATGCCTTTGGTATTGTGGCCATGAGTAGTAGCCTCTCCTGCGGAAAAAAAAAATGTTGGCATGAACAGGGGGAGCCATCTGAGAAACACATAGAGAGGGAGGAAAAGAGAAAGTGAGGGAAGATTACAGGGAGATTTATAGGTTGTGCATATGACGCCGATAAAAGCCCCACAGAACTCCCTACAATGCCGCTTGAGTCACTAACAAATTGAAGCACTTTATAAAATTTGCAGCTCTTCAATAATTTTGAATCGTTTTAAAGTGCTCATGCTCCAAACCACAAAGTCTTTCTTAACCACCGCAGATGTATAAAAGGCACATCATCAAAATGATGGTAATCAGCTCCTTCAATCTCAGGTGTAAAATTGTTCTGTATTTTTCCCTTGTCATTTTTGTTATTCACCAAGTGCAAAAAATAATAATAATAATAATAAAAAGAAGGTCATAAGGATGCGAGGAAAAAAAATGCTTTTTCAGATTCCTATGTAATCAATGTTCAAAAAAATGTGTGGATTAAAAGAAATTCACAGTTATCTTTGGCAAGGTTGACTAAGCTATTATAGACTTTCTTTGTTGAATATGCACCCCACGAACACAAATATATCCATGAAGGGGCTTAACAATCTCCAGAGATGTCTCCAGACATAATGAAAGTGTTTAATGGTCAGGAGAAGAGGGAGAAGATGCACACTTTGAAGTGTGTTGTGTCAGGTACTGAAAGGTGTATATGCTAAATATGCTAATTTTAACATTTTTTCCAATAACTTGCACCACACAGCAGAGAGCAGTATTGAAGTGTCTAGGTCAGCTCTTCACAACTAGCAGGTTGTGTGAATAGTGGCTATCTCAGTTTAGCTACTAACCCAAAAGAAAATCAGTGTGTGGGCAAGGAAATTTCATAATGGCACAAAAGACGTGAAAATATTTTCAACCTCAGTTAAAAAGTATAATTATGTAAATACAAAACTCTTATTAAGAAAAAATAAACGGGAAGATGATTCAGCTTGTGCACTTAAAAAAAAATAAATTTAACCCAAACTATAATAAACTAAACTATAGTAAACTAAAATAGAATAAACTAAACTAAACTAAAACTTTTTTTTTTTTTTTTTTTTTTTTTTTTTTTTTTTTTTTATTTCCAGAGGTATTAATGTGACTGAAGTATATTTTAGCCCCCTGAGCAGTTTGACATTTTTGGCTATTATTCTTTATTAGAGCAGGCTTCTTCTTGGGCTGCTCGCTGCTGAAGCACAAGCAGATGTTGCCAAGTTTCTGCACTTCTGCATACGCTGTTACTGCAAAAACTTCTCGTGCCTCTGAAGAGAGACATCCTGCCGAGGCTTGTTATAATGCAGCAGCACAACGTGGTACACAGGCACCCTCATGCCTAAAAGATCCAAAGCAACAGGGATCGCTGCGAGGAGAACTGAGCACCCTGCTGGGACTGGAAGCAGAGATTTTTTTATTTTTTTTTTCCTTTCCAAATGAGCACAGTGGGCCAGCTACAAACTAAATGGGTGCAGCAGCTCAGAGGGCACACCGCGAACCCAGGGAGGGCTCAGACCCCTGGGGAACTGCTCCACATGGTGCAGATCAGTTTCTAATGAGATCACCCTTGTTATCCACAGTGAGTTTGAAGCCAGCATTTCACAGTAACATGGGGACTATATTTTACGTCAAATGACATGATAAACCCATCACTAAATCGTAGTAACTAATAAAGGTTTCAATTCAAGTTTCCTTTTGAAATTAACCAAAATCCATTCCTTTTGATTCAGCAAGGACTGAAAAAACACTGACACCTGGTCTGCTCACAAACCTCCCATCTGCCTAGTGTGTAGAGCTACACTTGTATTTATCAGTGAAATGCAGGAAGCTGGTGCCAGAGCATGCCGTCGGTGCTAATTGACTCAGAGCACAAGAAAACCATGGGAAGAAGCACAACCAGAACAGGAATCCTGCAGGAGACTGCCTAAGAGAAAAACGCATGCGTGACTGAGCAAATAACATTCATCAGGTGTCCCAAGAGTTTAGAAACAGTGCTGAGAAAGGCAGCTACTCCAGGAATCAGGAGAACCAAAGTAACGCTGACACAGACGTGGGGGATTTCATGCCGCCACCCCCATCTTGACCATGAGGTGTGTGTATAGGGGGGAAATCTGGCATCTCCTGGGCTGTTCCTCATCCTTGGGGCAGTGTCCAGCCTGAGATAAGGGGGTGGATTTTGGTCTTAGCAGCCCTGGAAGTCATCTTGGGGAGAATTGGAGCAGGAAGCTGGAATGGGTCTGACACTGCCATGCCTGAACACAGGACCGAGAAGAGAAAGAGAAAGAGAAAGAGAAAGAGAAAGAGAAAGAGAAAGAGAAAGAGAAAGAGAAAGAGAAAGAGAAAGAGAAAGAGAAAGAATGAAAAGAATTAAAAAAAAAAGAAAAACAAGAAAAAAAAAAAAAAAAAGACACTGAGGCTGTGGCTGCAG